CGCACCAATGATGCCAACATGGCCGCCTTTGTTTTGATGACGTCACGTGCAAGGGGTCTATAGCTGTTCGAAATTCTCTAATTTTAACGTGTATTTCGAGGTAAATACTAAATAGTAATTAAGAAGTGTAGGCCTAGCGATAGTTGCAACATGTAACAGGTGAGGTCAAATGTCACTAATACATTGTTTTATTTACGAAATTTTACGAAATTCGGAGTTTGTTTTCAAGCTACCACTCAGGCATTTCGTATGGAAGGGTGTCACTGTCAGGCTCCTGAGTCCTCCGCCGTGTAACAGTCGGAGAGCCTGGTCGGTTTACGGTTAGGGGTAGGGTAGGGTACACTTCTGTAGTACATGTCTGGTACACTTTGTGTATACATATATGTACCTCGGGTACATATTTGTAGTACCACAACGACTCTGTAGGGTACGACAACGACCCCTTCAACTACAGACAGTACAGTAACAGTAACACTAACACTACTAACAGTCACAGTGTACTCTGTACCTTTCCCTCAAGCTCCTGGGTTTGCAAACGATCAGCTAATTCTTCATCCGAACTATCGGAATCTTCGTCTTCTGAGTTATTTTCCTGCTCCACTATATCATCGTTTTCTTCTACATTTTCAATCCTTTCTTCGGTTTCCATCGTCCCAGTTTCTGTGTTTGCGTTTGCCAGTGTTCGCGTTCGTTACGTACGGCATGCCGCCGACACCAAAAAGTTGAATAAAACAGTGAACGAAGCGCTTTAGGTTAGTACTTCACTCATTACCGGCGCCATATTTGGTCGAATTACAACCGTCGACGTGATGCAAGGGCATTGGTGCCAAAAGTTTCGATCAGAGGCTGGACCTTGAATTTGTCAAAACTCAATGAGTATATAATTTTACTTTAATTATTTTCGATGCTTATTCATCCCTGCTTTCTATTCAGCGCCTTCTACTGTTGTACAACACCAATAATCTGCGGGTAAATAATATAGCGTTTTTCGGCATAACGTAATTATGCATTAAAAAAAGGAGGGATATGCGCGGGGAGAGACGTGCCTGGTAAACTCCCCTTTAAATAGTTCACTTTTGCAGCAGTATCCCGCCACAATTCTTTTCCAATGCTAATGTACATTATGTACATTACATACATAATGTAAGCTATGCTGACGATTCGGCCTTAGTAGTTACAGGGACAGAGGTACAGGCTATACAGGAAGAATTAAGTAGAGAATTGCATTCCATTAATAAATGGCTCAACGATAATAATTTATCCTTGCATCTTGGAAAAACTGAAAGTATTATTTTTGGAACTAAACACAAA